GCTGTGGAAGAGAGTCAGAGATTAATAGCAAGTATGATTCAATGCAGAAAGGTCTATTAACACATAGATAGTGAGAAAGGTGACTAAAGAAGAAATACTCAGTGCATGATGGGAATCCCCCAGCAGCCTACACCTATTACAACATAACTAAGGTAGGATTCAGGGTGCCTCTCACACTGTACAAGTCACCGACCTTGGATTCAGCAAAACATCAAACTTCCTCCTCCATGTTTGACAGTTGATGCCACACACTGTGGAACCATCCTTTCAATACTCGATGGCATTCAAAGATCCTGCGTGGTGAACCGAAGATTTCAAATTATGATTCATCGGTCCATAATACCTTCTTCTAGTCTTCAGTAGTCCAATGACAGTGTTTCATGGCCCAGGCAAGCCTCTTTGTCTTATTCTGACATCTTAGCAATGGCTTTCTTGCTGCAACTCGTCCTGTCAAACCTGCAGCTCAAAGTCTTCTCTTCACAGTTGAAACTGAGACTTGCTTACTACGACCACTATTAAGGCTGTGCTTGAAATGGTTGTCCTGTGAGCCGCCTATCACGTAAGCCGTTAACTCTCAGAAACATGTCCTCTGATTCAACTGTGGCTTTGGGTCTGCCAGACCTCTTCCTGTCAGAGTTTGCCCCAGTTTCTGAGTGCTTTTGATTGTGAAGGAAACTCTACTCAGTGACACCTTGACTTTCTTTGCAATTTCTGTGGAAGAAAGACCTAAATTTTTAAATGTTATGAGGGTCTTTCTCTCTTCCATTGTTAATTGCCTTTTTCTCACCGTTTTTGTAGCATCACACTACTTTCTGCAGTACAATACTGTTTTACTGGTGCTCATGAACATATGGTACCAAGGTGTGTTCCAACACTACTTTTATGCAGGCAGAGTAATCCAGGCAATTTGGAACACCTGTAGGAATTAGTAGCACCAGCTTTTAAGGCTTGGTCAACCACCATTGCTGCAGAACAGCTTTAAATTGTTAACCCATTTTGTGTTCCCTGAAAAAGGCCTTTTTCAGAACAGAAAAACCAGAGTTAACCCTGAATGCTGAAGTGGCAACCCCTAACTCTACTCCAGTAAATTTAAGTAAATGTTAATGTTCCGGATAAAGCGGATGAAGATGGATGGTTAATGTTTGGAAAAATTTACTTCTAAAAGTACTTTTATTGCACCATTTTCATTTACTCATGAGCTGCTGTAACATGAATCAAATGGCTGAATTGCCCCCTCAGTATGCAGTCAAGTTCTATAGAGCAGCGGTACCGGGGTACTGGTTTCCAAGGTTTTTAT